GGTGGTGGTGGTGGTGGTGGTTTTGTGCTGCTGCTGCTGCTGCTGGTGGTGCTGGTGCTGGTGCTGGTGCTGCTGCTGCTGCTGCTGGTGGTGGTGGTGGTGGCGGCGGCGGCGGCGGCGGTGGTGGTGGTGGTGGTCGTCATGGTGGTGGTGGTGACATTGCGTGGCACTGCGGCGGCGGCGGTGGCACTGGCGCCCGTTGCACTGAATGGAAAGGTCAGCAGCCCGCTGTTATGATGGTATTAGGGTTGGTCGGTGCTGTTGAGAATGCATGTGCAAGGAGTCACTATTCTCCTTTTTGTATTTAGGTGTCATGGCTGTGCCGTGCTACGTTTTGCTGTTCTTGTTAAACTAAGGACATGGTGAACAGGCCCCGGCTTTCTCTTCTGGGCAATTTCGGTGTCAGATTTGCAAGTTCTTTACCGATGGGCGATGCGGTTTTTACCGATGGGCGATGCGGTTTTTCTTATTGCAATTGTTCTAGAAGTGTTACTAGAACTGTGTTGTCGAAGTGTTCATGGACTGCATCTCATATGTATGGATGAACATGATTTTTCAAAGTCAGAAACCCCTGTCTACAAAAAGACTTTAGCCAGTTCGCTTGATTCAAGCAGCCTCATGCAAAGTGTCACTAGCCTGCAGCAACCCGTTGATCAAAAAACACCACAAACCCTGAGCCCCAACCCTCAATCTTTCCAGTGATGCCTTCGCACTTTTAATGAGGAGAGAGTAGAAGATCTTCAAATGCCGCAATCAGTTGTGGCAATCTGTAGTCAGTCAGATCAATTTGTCAAGTAGATTCTCACTGTGTCCTTCTGTTTCCTCATTGTACTCCCTTTTACTCTCAGTCCCCCAATGAATCCCTTGTGTTTCCCCTAAACATTACACATGGGGAACAGCACCAACCTGTCCCCTGACCTCCGTTTAACCGAGAATGAGATAGCCCGTCAATGAGGATTTGAAAAGATGGATTTGTTTGCACTGGACCCAAAGCTGAGAGACGTTTTCAGGTTTTACGAGATCACCAAGGCCGAGGTAAAGCAGGTGGAGGCCGAACTGCTGAACATGGACCGCTCCTGACCCGCAAGCATTGGGGCTTGCCAGGGGGCTCATGATCTGGGGATCAGGTCTCATAGTGTTTCAAGATCAAGTGTTTGAGAACAGCCTTTTGCAGGGTTTAGGATTCAGACGCTTCCTTGCCCGCAGGATTTAGGATTCAGACGCTTCCTTGCCCGTCTTTTATTTCATTTCTTGTGCTAGGCTGCGGCCTCACCACTCTCGGCCTTTGATTGCTGAGGAAAAATGGAGATTCTCGAGCGAGATTTCCGTGTGCACATCAAGGTCCATGAGCAGAAGGTGCCGGGCCCATCACGTTTGGGAGTTCCACCTCACAGTTTTTTGCGTGTCCCGAAGAGGTTTAGGTTGCTTCCCTCAACCAGACCTTGAACACCGAATCTGATGGTGTCGAACATTTCTGATTGGAGTTGGCGAGTATATTATATTCACGTTGCAGCACAGGTTGTGTCTCTACTGCGCTGCGAATGTCATCGTCTGTTTCTGGTTAACCTCAAAGGCCTTTCGTGGTAAACATTTAACCGCTGACGACCCTTGGCAAGGGCAGAGCGGAGCTGCAGAGCAGCCAGCCTCCAACAGACGGATTTTCTCCGGGCCGTTCCCCGGCCCCAGCCTGCCTGAGCCGGCCCAACCCCTTGCACCCGCCCGCGCGAGTCTGGCCGACCAGCAAACCCTTACTTCCAAAAACGCGGTGTGCGGCCTTGGGTTCCGGATCTAGACGCCCCAGGCGGATTTGAAAGGAGGTTGAAAGGCAGCTTCAGCACCGATGAGCAGCTTTGGGCAGGTGCAGAACCTGGAGTACGAGCACAAAGAGGCGAAGAGACAGGTACACGAGAACGGGGACATGGACTTGCAAAAAGCGTCTCAGGGCCGCACTCCATGGAGACATCCACTTAACCTTCAGCCCTGATCGAGCCCTAAATCTTGGCCCCTTTGGCCTTCAAGACTTGGATTTTACAGGAAGTGTCAGGATTAGGCGGCTTCATCCCGATCTTGCGGCAAGTTGTAAACAGGGATCGGCTGTAATCCCTAAGTCTGTCATCCCTCAAGCTCGGAACATCTTTTAGCCCTGAGTCCCAAAGCGTTCTGAATGCCCTGCTGAGGCGCGACCTGCACTCCGAGCAGCTCCTGAACATGAACAAGGTGTGAGCTTCTCCTAATTTGGGCTCGGGATTCCGGGGTTTCAAGATTCAGATGTCGAGTCTCAGGGTCCGGGTTGAGCGGATTGGAATAATGGAGCTAAAGATGTAGCCGAAGCTGGTGTGCTCGCATACTAGGCGTCATAGGAAGATTACCGTACCAGTATTAGTAGCAGTATCCACATTCAGCAGAGCAGGATTGCAACGACAACAGTCGCTGTCGCTACGATAGCACAAGGATATTGAAAAAAGTGAGGGCAGCCGCACGTAAAAGCGACTCAACTCGTAAGCTCTGATGCCCTCCGCGCTTTCAATTCTGTTTGAGGGTGATGGGGACAGGGGTGGCCGGATTTCTAGCATCCCGTTCCCTACGCCCTACATGTCATTGGAACCTCTGGCCAAAAGCATGCAGAGGAGAAGCTGGAGTTGAAGCGCGATATTCGAGAGACGCAGCTGGAGAGCGAGGACGAGGTCCACAAAACACCAAGCAGATAGCAGATAGCGCAAATTGCAATGACTGCACCAAGAAAGCATACAGCACAAGTTGTAATCCCCCTGAGCATACGAGGCTGTGTAAATTTGGGCTCCCGTAGACAGATGAAAGTGAACCTTTGGAGCCTTCTGTATTGAAGATCGCATGGCGTTAAACCGTCCTAGGCAGATCCAGTGCTTCTGCCCTGCCAGGTGAAGATGATGCTCCAGGCTGGTGATGCCTTGCACCCCATTTGTCAGGATTCATGGTTGCGACTGAGTCAGGAACAAGGCTTATGGATTCTTGCTTTTCAGGATCAGGTCGCGGAGTTTGACATCAAATTTCGCGTTCTTTGTCCTGCAAGTACAATAAGCCTGCCAGAGCAAGTAAGCGTTTCTGGCATGGTTGTTGAGTTTTACTGTGGACCGAGTGCCCGCTCTGCCAGGGCTTCGCGAAGAGGCTTCAGAACCTCCGCGACACCTTCGAGCAGAATCACCAGCAGCTTCAGGCCACGAAGCTTGTGGGGACGTCAGGGGCACACACATTCTTGGTTCCCAACTTTCTCTTTACCTCAAGACATTTAGTATTTGAAAGATACTTCTGCACCATGTGAAGTGGGGCTGCGATTCAGATTCCCACTTTTTGCATCCAACCCTAAACGAAAGAACACAGAAGCGTCTTAGGATTTAAAGCGGTGCCAGGAAGATTGTGGTAGTTTGTTGAATCTTTTCCAGACTTGGTGCCGATAGTTCACTTCAGTTCGAGCCTCATCTCAACCAATCTCCAGTTGCCACTCGCCTACCTGCTCAAACCTGAGTCTAAGTCCTGGGAATGCATGTTGGAAGGCTCAGTATGAGGAGCAAGTGGAGCAGCTGAAGATAGACCTCGAACTTCGGCGGAAGGTCTGGGCGCTTTTTTGCAGTCTAGTTCCCGAAAAGGAGGTTTGCGGACCTGAGCCTGCGAGGTCGAGATCCATGAGATCGAGGAGCGCAAGAATCAGTCACAACCTTGGAGAGCGATGACAGGGCGAGGTTTCAAAGGGTAATACGCGGATGTGATAGGGAGATACAAGCCATGTGCGCCACTTCACATCGCACGACTTGAGTTGTAAACCCTCGGACCTCGTCCAGCCATAGAGGTTAAGCCGCAACAAGTCGTAGGTAAAGCCGCAACATGCCGTCACTACAAAGAGCCGCACAAATCATTGCGTATTGCCATTACAGAGTATGCCACGTCTCCATAGTTACTGTGCCTTGATTTCCGGACCTGGATACCATTCACGGGAGTATCATCATTTAACGTAGGACTACTTTTCAAGCTGTCTCTGAGTGCGCTGGTCTATTCAGAGATCTGAAGGCTGTCCCGCGACTTCTTAGGCACATCAACGAGTTGCTTTTCAATCATCAGGAGGCCTTCGACGAGATCAAGGTGCCGAACGATCTGCACTCTCATGCTTGGGTTGCTATTGACAGTTCTGCGTGTGTATGTGCCAAACTTGAGTTGGGGTTTGGCACAGGAGCCCGATGTCAGCAAATTCCTTCTGCTGAAATCTATTGGTTGCTACCAGTGCCTGTGCTCTCCTTCTTCCACTCCTTGTCTGCACCTCTTCTCATGAAGCTGGTATGAACAAGCTACAAGTGACAAGGCCTACTACAATGACATCACCCATGACAACCTGCAGTTGATCAAGTCCTTGAAGGCTGGGCGGTTTGCTGTGCAACTCAAAAGGCTTTGTGCAGAAACGTGTCTCAAATTGTTTTGTTTGGCGGTAATGCCAAACGAGCTGTCAACTGGAGACGAGAACTTCCGGCAACCTGTAGTGAAGCCGAAGTTCCTGCAGGACGAGATACAGGAGATGAAAGAGAAGGTCGCATCCTCAGATGGCTATGTGCCAAACATGGGGAATTTTTTCATGTACCCTTGAGCCGTTAGAGATCTTTATACGAAGCAAGAATGATGCCATGCATTGACGGAAGTTCGGAGGGGCAACTTTTGATGGTTGGCTTCTTGTGGGCCATGTCTTTTAAGTATAGTGGAGTTCATAGGTGCTACGCCATGAACTGTGACGACTGCAAGCGCTGAGCGCCAAAGGGCCCCATTGCTGAAAAATCTGCATCCCACGGAACCCTGGTACACATTCCATCCAGGCAGCCTCAAAACGGCTCATCCTTTGGAGAACCTCCCCAGGAGAAGACAAACAAGAAGAAGATGGATCTGCTCCGCCAGGCACTGTGGTCCTTTGAAAAGCAACGGGGGTTTCTCAACTGGATCCTTATGGATATCAGGGATGTACAGGGATTAACAGGCATTCTGAAGGTTCTAGTTCAGGATTGCAGAGAGGCCAGTTTGAGCACTTCTTGTGCTGGATGTCAGGGGTTTTGCTTTTGAGCCGAGGAGATTGACAGGTAGTAGCTGGGAGGTTTATAGAGATACAAGAGGACCCCACTTTTCAGAAGCACCTACATTGTGCACACATACATGCACAGTCATCTGTTCCTAGAACGCAGGGTTGCGGGAGTAGGATGATGGATCGGAGGTCCCGTGACGGGGTCTGCATGGAAGACCCTGGCAGTTAGGTTCGCACAAAAAACTCTTCAGCCTTCGTTCGGGCCCCCACATGGCTTCAAAGCAAACTGCTAGCTGCAAATACTGCCAAGACTGACTTCTTTTGACACCTCGCAGCAGCCCTCATTGTACCAGAAGACTCCAGCCCCAAATCCCTGATGCCCGAGCCTTGTTCAATTGCAATGTGTTGGGTCTGTCTTTGCGGCTCGCTGTTAGGAGAACAGGGACCTCACACGGCCGCTCGAGGACTGAAAGCTTTTCGTCTTTAGGTCGGCTTTTCGATTCTGGTTGAAGGATAGGTTGCTTCGTCTCGATTTGATTCAGGCAGTATGTCCGAATGACAGGCTTCTGAAGGTTCGGGGCTCCCGCTGCAAGGAGAAGCTGGCTGAACAGAGGGCCTTAGAAGAGGAGCTGAAGACCTACACCAAGGACACGCGTTGGAAGTTCAGGGCTTTGCCTGTAGGCTTAAGTTTAGCATCGAGCGGCTTTATCTGTGGATGTCGAGTTGATTGCGAGTAGGTTTGTAGGTTTGAGGTTCACAGGCAAGTGAGCTTCAAGAATGCTACACGCACGCAGGACTGTGGCAGAAGGGGTTTGCTATTGGGGCTGTTGAGTTCAGTTTTCCATATACGATCCCGATTTCTGAAGAGCTTTCTGAGCTTTCCAGTTTGTAAAGATGATTATGGTGCATGTTGAGCTCGGAGACCTTAAAACGGGCCTAGCACTGCCCTAACCCCAACTGCCTGCGTTGCTTTGGATCCTTAATCCCATAGATCCCCCTACCAAGCCATTTTTCATTTCATGGTCCATAAGGGCACTTAGAAATCATCGTGAACACAGGACAAGATGGCCCTGAAGAATCTGAAGGCGCACTTCAAGAAGCTTGAGGACTTGGGTATTTCATGTCAGTGCATAGGGAAAACAAATACAGAAGAATGATACTACGACGTCAGTACTGTGTGATTTTGGGATAATTGGGATAGCACCTTGGGACTTTGTCCTTGCTGCTCTGCCGATGTCCCTTATGAAGCCATGGTTACAGGTTGTTCTGTGGGTTGTTTGCAAGTTTTGGTTCTTGATTTCATTTAATACTTCAAGTGAACAGTGGTGGTGGCTAGGCTGTATGCCCTGGAACACACCCTAAACCCTAAACCCTAAACCCTAAACCCTAAACCCCAAACCGTGTGGTAGATTTAAAGGCATGCTGGCATCAGCAGCCTTGCCCAGCTTTATCCGGTGTGTGTCCCGGTCATAAAACTTCAACAAGTGCTGTTGCTGTTGCTGTTTCTGCTCCTGATCATTCTACATCTTCTTTTTGTATTCGGACTTGTGTCAGTGGTGTCAGGAGCAGATCACAGAGGCTAAGCAGGAGTACCGCACCTGCGAGGCATTCCGGGGCCTGGGAATGAGATCCAAGCGCGCAAAACGGTTGAAGGGCTTAAGATTTGGAATTCGGCTCTGGGGGAGGAATGCAGTGAGTGTTTAGCTTCTCGGGTGATTTCATTTCTTAGATTGGCCTCAGTGTGTGCAACTTAGCATGTTCGAAAGAGACAGGGCTGAATTCGAGGTAGAGTTGTGCGGCAGTGAAGAAGCGTACGGATCTGGGGTGTCGAAAAAACAAAGATGCCGCTGAAGGGGGTTTTTGAGTCAGTACTTCGGATGTCGAGCTCTTTTCGTGGGGACCTTTTTTTTGCCGCTCGCAGCAACGATCCTGCAGGACAAGTACAGGAAGATGGAGAAGGAAAGAGATGCCATTGGCCCAGTCTGCACACTTCTAGTTTCGTGTGTGGTGGTATGGTAGTTTCCCAAAAAGGGGGAACCCCAATATAGACCCCAAAATATTATCGTCCTTATTATGGGGACCCCTAAAAAGGTACCCCTAATTTTGGGAAACCCCCATATGAGTTCTAAGAGGGGGATGACAGAGTTCAGGTTGCCGGGTTCCAGGTCTGGGGCTAAGTGGGCTTTGAGGGATATTCAGGGTGGGCATACCGCAAACATGAGTGCACGTGACTATGTAGAATTGTAACCTTAGTTTGGGATCCTGAAGCAAATTGGCAAGCTCCTTGATTCCACTTCTTCTTGGCAGCTGTGGTCGACCTGCAAGCTTGCATGCGATATCAGTGCATCTGATACGACAAAGAAACAAGACCAATGGCTGAAGAACGTCGGAATCTATGACCAGCAAAGGACACGGAGAACTCATCCTCATAATTTGGTGGTGGTTCGTTAAAACAAGGGAAGGGACCTGAAGGGAGCGACTTCTCATGGCCCCTTCCAAGGCTTGTGCTTGGTTGTTTATTCCTTCGCTGGGCCACTCCATCAAAACCAATATGTTGAACGGTATGCTGGCTAGACTGAGGACCTCTACAAGCGCTTCAAGAAAGCTGTGCAAGAAATCCAGCGGAAGGCGCGACAAATGTGATTCCATTTCCTCCCCGCAGATTTAGTCCTGAGAAGAACGGGGCCTCGGATTTGAGGATCTCCATACAACACTGAATGTGGCCATTGTATGTGGCCACTGTATGCCTTTGCGGCCTCAAAAAGAAGTGGGCGAGAGCAATTCGAAGCTTCATGCAAGATGAATCGACTTCACTGCCAGGTAGAAAGACGGCCAGAGCACAATCAGATTATGTCCTTTAAGCCTCTTATAGTTCTCTTGCCACTTCGCATTGCAGAAGTTTTTGCAAAGTGCAGGACAGTCATGTGCTGCATTGATAACCCCGAAAGAATGACACATTATTCTAAGAAGTCCCCTGTGGACACTTGAAACAGGCGCGTGGAACTCTCAGTGTAGGATTGCTTTGAGATGCCCAAACACAACGCAGGAGTTGCGAAGCAGAGTCCCTTATGATTCATTAATCTACCAAATGCTCTCGTAACCTCTATATCCCTAAGGTCCCTGAGATATTGCCATTTCCAAAAAGCCTCCATGTGGGTTAGAGCCTTGACCAGGGCTGAAAAGGGGCCATATGTTAAGTGCTTCATCTGCAGAGGCCGAGTTGGGTAAGAATGTTGTGCTGGAGAAGAAGCTGGATACTCTTTCGCAGCAGTTCGATGAGTGACTTGGCCAAGTTACGCCGTTGCTGGAAGTGATCGCCCACGACATTGCCAGGTTGTACGGGCTTCGGATACATATGTATCTATGCAATTACATTGCAGACCTGCAATTTTGCAGGGTGTTTTGTATACTGGCAGTGTGGGTATGTCTCCCCAGCTTTGCGTTCATCGTCTAGTTTCAATCACGGAACCCAAGATGGGAACATAATCGGGAATCCCAGACTCAACCCCACACCACTGAAGTACAACGACGATTGAGAAACTCTTTAGCCTAATCTGTCTAGTTTGTACGCCACCTCGTCTAGAGGCTAGTTAACACAAAGATTTTCTTGCTGCGAAAGGGAGAGGCAGAGTTGCTCATACGGTTGAGCCCAAAGAGTCCAGACGGTCCTTTCAATTTGAGTCTTTTCATCTTGCAGTCAATGCTGTAGTCCGTTCCGAAGGTAGAACCAAAGCCTCCATACACGAAGCCCAAGAAGATCCCAACCCTGAACTCCAGGATAATTGTCTAGAGTTCAGATCATCCAAAATGAACAATCTGGAAGGAGTGCAGCCTGGTGCTATGAGAGTTTCTATAAGGTCCTAGGATCTAAACTCCAAAGACCCAAAGCCGTGGGACCTTTGACCTGAATCCCCTAAACTCCTCCTATCCCCCCCTTCGGCAGGAAGCAGGCGCAGCTGACAGAGGTGCTGACGAACGCGCGGCTGGATCCGACCATCGTGGCCAACGTCACCAAGAAGCGGCCGAGTTGCAAAAAGGGGCCAAACCTTGGGACCCGTTCAACCCCGGTGGTTTCGGCTTTGACAGCGCCCAGCGTTAGTTGCTAGATCCCGGCGCTTTGGTCAGGTTGGAGCAAGTCCTTGGTGCGAAGAATCGCCAGATCAAGGACCTCCAGTACCAGGCCAACGCTGGGGGTCTCTTTGTGGGCCGAGGGATGGAGAGCAGGGCGGAGCCCTTTACAGATTGTGGTGAGGGATTGAGTGCGAAGCTCCGGATCTTCTTCCCAGCACATTCCGCCTGGGCTACAACCAAAACTCCTGTTCCCACCAAAGCGGGAAAACCCTTGGGCAGGTGCATCAGGCCACCAAGCAGTACAACGACACCATCCGCGTCTACGCAGCTTGTCTTGCGGTCTATGACAGCAGTGGTGTTTTTACAGCAGCGCGGTACTTACAGCGGCATTCAAAATCTGAATCTTAAGCGTGCAGCTGCCTTCTTCTCTTATGGGGTAGTATTTGAGGACGGTTCCGTCATTGAGGCAAATCACAATAACGGCGGGCTGCTGGTTTGAGGTTTCCTGGTTGGCTGGTTTGAGGTTTCCTGGTTGAGCACAAGAGTGCTACCGGTGGTATGCATTTTGTGCTTGTCTTAGCCGTAACCAGTGACGTGCCGAAAACCCGAGATCTCAAAGTCCAAGGTCACAATCTAAATGCCATGTTCTTCTTTACCCATTCTCTTCAACCCTTGGAATCTTAGACTGAGGGCTGCTGAACGGGCTTTATGTGGGTGTTTTGGGTCCTTAAGAAGAAAGGCAAGTGTCCCTTGGTACAGCCTGCTCCGTAGCTGTGAAAGCAGTTTGGAATACACACAACCTGAGAACCCTCTGGCTAACGAACCGTCTGTACGCATAACTTATACCAATATACATTCTAGTCACCTTAACAATTACTTTTCTAAAAGGGACCCCTGACCACGGCATCTCTAAACCCAAGGAGAGCAAGCTTCAGTCGCTGGGCGTGGACCCGGAGGAGATCGGCTTCGAGGTCTCACAGACTAAGTTAGACAGCGGGAGGATCTAGAAAGTGAATCCCGGTAAGCCCCCAAAATTGTATAGGGTGTCATATTGGGGGTTCTACTTCCTCCCAGGTATGGGACGTCAGAGGCTCCTGGTGGCTGTAATCCTGGAGCCTGCATGTGCGAGCGGTGTATTCGTAACAAAGGTGGCTGTGCCTGGGGGCCGGACAGCATTTTGTGTTGTTTATCGGGGAGTGGAGAAGCATCTTCTGCAAATGCTGTCCTTCAAACCACGCATGCCAACCGCCTGTGCCTTGAAAAGGGAGAAGAGAGCCCAAAACGCACTGCCAGGCAATTCAGACGGCGACGTCTTTGATGCCAGCGCGCCTGGTCACACGGGTTCACACCTCAGCAAGTGCTGTGCCGTCTGCAGCAGTGTTTTGTTGAACGGATGGTCGTGTGACACATGGATACCTGCTAAAACCCCAAAGTAGCAAACCATTCGAAACCAGCAAAAATATGTAGATTTCTTGTGCACATTGAATGCAGATTGTGTAGCTTGATGACAAGAGTTGCTGGTTTCCAAGTTTGTTCTCGACAGCTTTGGTGGGCATGCGAAGCCAGAGTTGAACTGAAATCAGCCAGTGGGGCTTTCCCGCCCATGTGGATGACCCATCTAACATATTAAAGCATCAAGGATGTGATCACTGTGATCCCTGCTTGTACCCCTGTGGGGAAACGCTTGCAGCAGACTCAGGTGGGTTGACTTCGCGGGCACGCACGTCAAGGTGCATAATTGTATGGAACAGGTGGAGAAATATATGTTTGCAATAGCCTTTCCCATCTTGTCCTTTGCTCGCCCGCCAGAGCCGAAGTGTATCACTAGAGCAAACTCCGCTCTTTCACCCCAGGTTTCACCATCAGGTTGAGAACGCTTCCTTCTGGGCGCGTTTTCAATGCGTCTCACCGGGAATTTACGTGCAAAGAGCATTCAGTCAGACCACCGAAGGCAACCTCAAAGCACAAAACTTTCCCCAAAGGGCTGTACGCAAGCAGGTGAGTAAGCAGTCTAGATCTTGTCTCGTCACAAAACCTTGGTTTGATGCTGATGACTGATATTGGGGTGCTGGACTTGTCCTTCCATGTCTTACCTGACTCAGCTCTGGAACAGACCCAATGTTTATAGTCCCCCTTAAGTAGATAGAATATAGGGTATATGGGGATCTTAATATAATATTCCCAAAGCCATATTCTATCTACTTAAGGGGGACTATAGTTGTAACCAAGATGACCTTATTGTCTGACTGATGTTCTGTACAGGGCCTTGGGCACCACCCAGGGGCGATGTCTCGGTGGCATTCGTAAAAGATGCTGTGAGGTTGAGGGCACCCCAAAGTTGTGAGGGTTCAAAGCCTAAGGGAATCTCATGATGTAGTGTGAACAGCATGTACAGGATGAAATTCTCCAATCCTTTTTTCCAAGTGCGCAGGGCTTAAGGACACTCTTACCCGCAAAGTACTCTTGAGCTCTGCGAAACCCGAGATATGGATGGCCCAAAAGACGTGGTTGAGAAACCACGCAAAAAACGGCGGCATAAGCTTCGTAGACTCCATTTCCAATGTCTTCGGTCCTACAGGTTTTGTGCTTCCTTTTCTCCGGTTATCAGCACGCAAGGAAGGAGTGAATGTTTAGGATTCCAGAGCGACCTGCACTGCAGCTTTCTGCGGTTCCTACCGTTCAGGCTTCAAGCCTTGATTCAGCCTGAATCCCAAGGCCTGAATTTGCATGTTCTTGAACCCCCGAATCTGAATTCATGCTCTGTTGAGCGCTGCAACTTGAGAAGCTCTACGTTCGTCAGTTGCTGCGCCGCAACCCCTGGATCTCAGAACCTTAAATTCTTCGACCCCAACCTCTGGCCTTAACAATTTTCAAGTGTCCCAAGTCTCCTCACACCCCCAAACCCTTAGATTCCCAAGGGCATGGGAGACTTCACCTTCTACAGCACCATGGAACCGAGCTACTCGGCCCAGCTCATGGTGCCCTACACGGAGGCTTCTCAGGGTTGAGGGTTGTTGAGCTGAGAGTTTTTAGGGGATAATGGAAAATAAAATGGAAACTACTATATTATTTAGGCTTTGAGTTATAAGGATTATAGGGCAGAGGTAAGGGCTTCAGTTGGAGTTAGTGGTTGGGGGTGTTAGGTGATTTTGGGGGGCAGAGCTTTGGGAGCTTTGAGGATGAGGCTTTGGGTTGTTTGTGCTTACATAGTGCAGATGCGACAGTTGTTGGAGTGGATTCCTAAAGAAGAATTGAGATGGCAGATGGTCGTTTAGGGTTTGGGCTGTGTGTCTTTGGGAGGTATTGTGTTTAGATCACCTTCTATATCTCGCCAGGTAGTGCTGGGTTGCATGAGGGTAGTCCGTGAAGTTTAAATAAATTATGTTTCTCAGCATCCAATATGGGGTTTTCCCAACGTAGGGGTACCATTTGAGCGGTCCTCAGATTGAGGATGATTGTATTTTGGTGCCCATACCCTCCCGGAACTCCTAACTCTCGAGAGTCTAGCATTGCAGCAGGTGGATCCATCCTCAACTCGGCTGCCCAATGGAGAGGTGTCGACCTCAACCTTTTTGGCAGACCATCGGGTTTTCATGGCTGAAAGTCCAGGATGTTTGGGTACCTGACTGGTACCTGGGCACGTATCGTGCGAGGAAGTCCATGGCGTGCAAAGGTAAAGCTTCTTGCATGTGGTACACAGGGTCTGAGATTGGAGGGGGCTGAGGCCTTGCACTTTTCCGCAGTCCTCAGTCCTCCTATGACCTGAGTTCTCAATTGCCCAAATCCATAAACGTCAAAAACATGACACCCTTGAGTCACTAATTTGCTCACATCCAAATCTCTCTGCCTCAACCCCTCGCCCAAACTGCAAAATCGGAAATGCTCAGTCAAAGTCAGCCGACGCCGATGCACCCCATGGCCGCAAGACCTACTCCTTACCCCCAAATTTTCTGAAATCCTAAAGTCCTCATTTGATTTCCGCTATGTGGCCTCACTCCTCTTTTTTGGTGCCCGATTTTATGTTTCGAGACAGCCTAGGTGACGGTCTAGGTAGCGGCTAGATCAAGCACGAGAAGAGCATAGCTTTATATCCTGCTGTATGTTCTGAACATACATGTGTACCTGTAGAGGTTGCAAAGCAAGTGCGTCAGAAGGTCCGGACACTCTTGGGTCTTGCGATAAGCCACCGGCTTCAACCCTATGGTAAACCTGAAACTATCAAACCTAAAGGCTAAACCCTGCACCCTAAGCCATAAGGCCTGCTCAGGAAGAGCCGTGAGCCCTGAGTTGCGAGTCCTGAACCCTAGACAGTACATCCTGCACCCTAAACTTTACGCCATGACCCCACAACCCTTTTCCTGAACTTTGAGCCCTAGACCCTAAATCCAAAACCCTCAGACCTCCTCTGAGGTAATGCCAACTAGTGGCGGCCGCTTTGGGGATGCGGGCAAGGTGCCAGGGTTCATAGGATTGAGTTTTTCCACGTTGACGTGATGTAGGGTTGGGAGCTTTTGGGTATGGGCAGGGTTATGCGGTATAGGGCTGAGGGATCTCGGGTATACAGGTTCGTTTGCTTGGACTTCAGGGTAGATTGAGGGCTTTCTTTCCTTGTTCTTTCGAACCATATCTTCCATGTCGTCTATTCTTAAGAAGTGTATATCCATGGTTCATTGGTGTAGTATCGGAGTTTATTTGGGATCTGTTTCAGGAAGCCTCGATAGGCTGTCAATGAGATCCTGCAAAGGATCTTTAGAGACCGCGTTTGTGTATGTGTTTGAGTTAACGGTGTAAGCGACAGTACTCTAATGCGTGTACAATTAGGGTCTAGGGTTTAGGGGTTCGGCTGTTGCCTGTTGAGGGTTCAGACATTTTGAGTTTTCCTCACACACTAGTTGACTAGCCTTCATGGCAAGAGAGATGTGTAAGAAGCACTTGCCGTGCAATCATGCCAGTGCTGCTCCTGTCTGATGTGATCTGGTCACCACATCATGTAGAATTTGTAGCCGGGTAGCCCTTCAGAGTGTGATGTGCGTTCTGGTGACCCAAAGTTTAAAAGCTTTCCATCAGCAAGCTATTGCCGGTTTAGACCCGGGGACCAGCTCGAGGCTGATCCAAACAACTAACAACATGAACAGTAGAGATGCACTAGTGACATTATTCATCCCACTTCCCGAACACATAAGTCCCTGATAGAGCCTTTGCCGTACGGCATTTGCATGCTTCTCAGGTGTACTTCCATCATGACACGGTGCTGGATGTCAACAAGCTGAAATCTCAGCATGCTGAGCTCATGCAGAGTGATCAAGGTTGAGGGATGGATGTATGCGCTTGGCTTTGGTGCTTTATGGCTTGGACGTCTGCAGACGTTTGGATGGTGGAGTCTTGATTCAGGATTGCCTGGTATGCGATAGCCTGCTACTGCCACTGTCACATGTCAGTTTATGTTTTTGTGGCTGCTGCTGTGCATCCTGAATGTACCCCGCAAATCCTGCCGCACAGCCCAGACCTCAACACCTGAAACTCGACTGCGTCGAGGTCCTTCAGCTTCAAAATGGCAGATGTGCAAGCTGCTCAGTTGGTGTCAGCACCTGGCCCCATTGCAAAGCACAGCCTGGACAGTTTCTAAGCCTGAGAATCTAGAGCCTTCGGAGAAATTCGGATTTTCCCAAGCCTTCGGTTCACACTTCATTCTTTTGAGGTCTGTACGCCTGATCATGCAGATTTCTGAATTTCGGGTTACTGAGCTCCTCACACCCAGCACACTGACAGGTACTGCGTGGCACCGATCAAAAACAAGCTGTGCCGTGGCCAGCCCAGTCTAGAGGGGCATGGATGGCCGAGAGTTTTTTGCACCACCTTAACATTATGGACCTGCTACCCGGTGCCCTAGTTGCACTGCGACATGGACCCTCGCATAGCAGAAGTTTTCCACTCACTTGTAGTGGTGGAGGGTCCATAGATGAAAAGATGATAAGTTACCAGGTCTCAAAACAAAACGTCAATGGTCTTAGAGGGATGCGGGATGCAGAGAGGACATGCAACTTCAGCAGCCCCAAGGCTGGACCCTCGCAGTGAAGTTGTGATCTCACCACACTTCGCAAAAGCCTCGAAAGCCTCAGCCCCCAAGTGCCAACACACCTCATGAGGAGAGCCCTGCGGCCATGATTTCTGGGCTGTCGGGACGCTGGGCTGCTGATTGACGTGCTTTAGAGCTTTGAAAAGTCAAGGGTTTGGGGCTTTGGAGTTTAGGTTGGTCTAGGGTTTTGCTGGTTTGGAATTTTCCTGCAGCCATCGGGATTCGTCATTCTGAGCATGGTGGACCTGGGCTTTCAGCAATGTGGGCCCTCAAGGGAAAGTTTTGCTGGCTGTGACGACTGGATTTTGCAAAATGGAATGATAGGTTCTCAAAGTCACGGTAGCCCCCTCAGTAAAGGGGAGGCTTGCGAACGTGCAAACTATTTGAGATACCCTCAAATTCGCGCGTGTATTCCGTGTGCAGTGCGTGTGAAGCACACGCCAGCAATCACTGTACGCTACACATGACTCTTTGCTTTGCCACTTTCGACAGCACCGGAATTTGGTGGAATGCCTGCTCATACGGCCAGAAGCTCTTCGAGTCTTTACATCCGAATCCAGACTGTTGTGGGACCAAGTTTCTCCTACATGGCTTACAATTTGCGCACCAGGCCTTCAAACTGGGGGGCATACACATCATGATTTCCTTCTACGTCTGAATTGGGGGCACAAACACCAGGATGTCTTCAGCCCGAGCGCAACACTGGCTGTGCTGGTAGGCTCTTGAATCCCAAACATGGCTGACCTTCATCTTGGTCTGTGGTTGCTGGTCTCGGGTTGAGACTTCAGCCTATAACCTTGCCTTTTCAGCATGTGCAATCACTGCCAAGGAAGAACTGCTGTGCAGAGGACGCCATCAGAAAGCATGGGCAGCGTGATTTATTCCTGCTTTGACTTCTGCAATACGAGGCAGCAAGGGCTGGGCTGCAATTGCAATAACGGGAGTTTGATGCGCGCAGAAGGAAGCCAAGTTTTTTTCTATTCGCAGCCCAAGTTTCAACTCACGCAGCCCTCGATGTTGTTCTTTGCTCAAGCTCCTGCGCACTGTCTTAATCTTCAACTCTATAGCCACAATCACCAGCTCTTCCGCTTCCTGCGCTACTCCGCCAAAGCTCTCCGAGCCCACATGCCAAGCCTGCGCAGATAAGATGCCTTGCAGGATGGCAGCAATTTCACCTGCGGCGATGCAGGGAGCCGAAGAGCCAAGAGTCGTGTTCCCAGGAAATGGACGTGTTTGAACAGGATCCCAGAAGTTGACTGGACTTTGACGGGAAGTGGTACCAAATCAGAAATGCATTGGGCGGGGTGTCCTTTACGTTTCGTTGGGCCAGGGGGCTTGGGATTTAGGGGTTCTCGGCATTCAGGGTTCAGGCTCACTGCTTCCGGGCTTGGAGCGAGTCAGGTGTTGATTGGTCATGAAGCTCCAGGAATATATTGAGTAGAAGCTCAGGGCCGTATGCTTTTTATGATTATCAGATTTCCTTTTCGTTGTTGTCCTTATGATGCTGCTTCTTTACATTGCGATTTGCTAATATTGCATATTTATAACATTCCCTCTCCGTCATTCTCATCCTCAACGCTTTTGCCAGCTCTGAGGTGGCCTGAGGCTGATGGAGAACACAGAGGTCCCCTTCTACAGGCCTTCTGGGCTTTTGGGGTTAACCTCAATGCAATCTTCGCGTCTTGCCCCGTTTCCCCCGGCCCCAACCTGTCCCCGTACCTCACGTCCGCCCCCCGCACACATGTATGGTCCCATTCACGTTTCAGAATCCCGCAACTAAGGTAAGCGCAGTAAATGTCCTATACAAGGCTCTGAGAAAGCCGCGTGCAACAAACCTTACAGCACCCATGCAGCCTTTCCTTATGACATCCAGCTGAAGCGTGGCATGTTCCTCCGGGGGTGGAGGCCACCGCCTAGGCGGCGGCTGGAATTGACCTGACAAAAATACCTCCGGCGGCCTCACCTCAAATAGTCAATCACCAACAAATTCTTGACATTGACGTCCCCTGTTAATCCACGCAGTTGCAAAGGGTGCCACACTTTGAGCAACCTTTGAGTGCCAGGCTGGCAGTCCTCCAAGCTGCAAGTAAGTTCAAGGCACTTGGCACAGCTCAAGGGCTTGTTGGGGTTCTGGGTCCGGAGAGTATTTTGGAGAAGTTAGCAACGTGATAAGCACGAATATGCTAGCCGCCACGTACGATCTTACAGAGAAAGACAGGGGATTAATGCAGAAAAGCTTCAGGTCCAGAAGAATGATATATGTACATGTATGACCTTGATACATTTTAGCTATCATGGTGTTCGGGCCAGCGTCAGGGTTGGACTTGCAAGTGTAGCTTCAAGCCCAGCCTAGGTTTTTCTTGGCAAGTAGAACCTGGTGTTGATCTTCTTCAAGATTTCTTGTTCATTCGCGTATCACCCTTGGATAATTCATGCAAGTTCCATGCGTGCTTCGAGAATGGGCCAAGCTCATTTTGCCTAAGTTTCTGGGGGAGCTGAGCTGGGAACTGACACCACAAGAAGCTGTTCATTCTGCGAATGCTTACAGTGCTTCATGAATTTTATGACGCACTTTGATCAACTGAAAGAGCTGCAGATTGACCCAGAGTCCTGAAGCTTGATCTCTGCCTGGCACAGACTCTCATCGAGTGTAAACCTCGTGTAGTTCCAGGATATACATGGCACTCGCTCTAAAACATGACTCTCACGAAGTGAGGCTTCTATTTCATGTGTGTATCACCTTTCCCTGCCTCAGATGGACAGCCCGCATCCGATCTTCTTTCACTGGTTGGAGGCCAGCGTATGAACGGAGAGGGGCCAGTCTGCAAACTTCAGTGCTGAAGATCTTGGGGTTCTGCAAGTTCTTGCATTGTTGTTTCTGCTCAGCAGCTAGGTGAAGTGAAGGGACCTGCGAGCCATGTCAGAAGTTGCTTGTAGGTGGGAAGGAACCCCAAAGAAGCATCACTGCAAAGGGAAGTCCCCTGGTCGGCTAGCCGGAACCTTTCGACCGCAACGCGCGTGCTTGCGACAGGACCCTGTAGCAGAGATCTACAGCTGGCAGCGACAGGGCTTCAGGCCGCTCAAGCTCAGGGTTCAATCTTAACTCCACTCCCTGGGAGGAGAACTTCCTGGTGCATAGGGAATACCGGAATACCTATAATAGAGGTTTTATAGGGGTTATATGGGAGAATGGAAAAGAAAGTGGAAACTATTACATAAGAATAGTATATTATGGTATATGCACAGAGCTGAATCATCAGCCGGATGGAGTCCTCAAGCTTCTTCATGTAGTCCAAACACCAGACCCGAGCCTTGAAACAAAGTATTGTCCATCCCCTAATACGTCCGGCTGAGGACAGGGTCTACTTCTCTTTGAAGCTTAGGGACATCTGACTTTGCAGGGCCATAGGTTCAGTGATCAAGGCCTGCTTTGGGTATATCCGGGCCGTCTTCGGGAGCTTCAGTTTACCTTACATACCCGGTGGTGGTTTTGCAGCGTGACTTCATTTGGAGGGAGGAGGGGGTTTGCGTAAATCCTTGCCCGAGGAACACAGTCCCTGTTCCATACCTGAGAGATTTCAGCTCTCAGCGCTTTCACTGTCATGGGTTGACAACGTGTTTGGGGTTTGGGCTTGAGAGGCTGTGAAGCTTAGGGCTTCAAATCCAAAATCCGAAAATGCTACGGCTCCAGACCCAGTACTCGGTAGAAGATCTCAAGTTCAAACATCTTCCCAAACGGGGCCTTTTTTAAAAAGAGGTTTGAGGTTAGCTGAGGATCTCTGTTCTGGGAGGCGCTCCCTGGTTTGATTTCTGAGCTTCGTTCAGGTTCATGGGGAAATGAATTACAGCGTGACTGCTATTCAGGAATCCCTCAGCCCATGCAAACACATGTTGATACGAACGGGTTTTGCATCCGCACGGGTCTGTTTGGATATGCTTTGGGGCCGGAACGAGCTGCGATAAGCGATTTGGGTACATCTATTGTTCCTACGCATGACTCACCCTGTATTTGAGCCGTGTACCATCGTCATCTTCTTCCTACCTGCCACTATCACTGCAGATCATATTGTCCATCAGTCTTCTTGCTGTGTAGGTGCTTTGCGCTGGCCATGGTGGGTGCCTTCCTGGTCAGCGGTGCTGCGTTCCTCAGCTTGAACGTTGTTGATCCGGGGAAGAGTAAGATGAAGTGTTTAGGGTAGAATTAGGCTTGAGAAGTATTTGCGGAGTTCCTGAAACCAGTGAAGCAGGGGTCCCCAATCTTGGGTTACCAGCCGGTTTGACGGCTTTGGCGCTTGGGGCTTGGCTACTTTTGGAAGGGTGTCATTGTTTTGAGATTCCAGTCCAGCTCTTGGGAGAGGTAGGTAAGCTAACGTTGACCTGAGGTTCCTGGACAATCTCTTCCCGAGGTGTCTGTTATGCGCATTTCCTTGTCAGCTGCGCAGGCAAAGCTGGAGTGATCAAAGCAAGCTTCGGAAGTGGTCTACAGCAAGTATGGGTTCTATTAGTACGGATACAGTATAGGGTTCCGCCAGTGTACCCCAACATGGTCTCTCACAAAGCCGCCGGTCTTAACCTCAGACCCCCGGACTCAACCCCTCCCCCCAACCCCGAAGCAGCAAGCCTGCGTGTTCATTTTGGTTGTGACACCTGTGTACGTTACTCATGTCCAAGGGGTGAGTAGAATGAGCTATGTGTAGCCCTGGCCTCCGCATGTCGAAGTGAGGATCAGCGATCTCGTTGCAAGGTTGGCCTATGTCGTCAAGGGCATGGACCTTGCGATCGGCTGAGCGGTGTTAGCTTTGGCGTCCGTGTGGGTAGTGATACCAGTCGAGAAAAGAATAGTACTGGCAACGTCCCAAGGTCATCCAAGATTCATGTTATGAACATGTTGGAGGGCTAGGCAACTCATGTTGAGGCTTTATTGAGCAACCCTCATCCCAATGTTCAACCTATACTGTAGTTCCCCTTAAGTAGATTATGGCTTGGGTATATTATGATAAGATCCCCATCTACCCCATGTATTCTATCTACTGAAGGGGGACTATAAACCCTAACTTGTTTACGAGCAGTGTCCCCTGCTGCTGGAGCCGCTCGCAACAAAGCAAGAGCTGCTGTGACAGTTACCCCAATAATGATTTAAAGGGCCTATAGGGATATTACCTCCAGTAATGGAGAATCAAATGGAAAAGAAAATGGAGTTATGTAGGGATAATGGAAAAGGAAATGGAAGCTACTATATGAGCTATATTCTAAACTCCTTAAAGGGGATTATATAAGGGATTATATAGGGGACTACTATAGGGGTTATTAAGGGGGATACTAGGAGTTTAGACTATGGCTCATATAGTATATTGGGTTATATAGGGATAATGGGTCCCCCGCCCCCACTGCATGCCGCGCTGGACAGGAGCGCTTCTTCCGGAACCTACCGTTGAAAGCAGGTTGCTAGGGAGCACTCCGAGAGCACAACCCTCTAATCCCAGTTTCCATTTCATTTTCCATTTTCTTTTCTATCCCTAAACCCTAGACCCTAAACCCTAAACCCTGAACCCAAATTTGGCTTTGAGCACCTGCATTGGCCGGACGGTAGGTTAGATGTGGCTCAGACAAGCTGTCTGAGGGGAGAGGGGTTAAAAAACAATTACGGATCAAAAAACATCAAATAAGGATCAAAGCAACAAATAAGGATTAAACAAAAACAAAAACAAAATTCTGGATTTTAAGGTCAACATATTTGTTGACATTTCATGATTTTCATGATTTAGTTTACGATTTTTCATCATTCTTTATCATGTTTCATCAGTTTTCACCATTTATCCGCACGTATCATGTTGCATGATTTGTCATGATTGCTCATCATTTTCATCATGTTTCTTCAATTTTTCGCGTCATTTTTGATTTTTCATTCTTTTCATGATGAAATCATCAATTTTCATTATTCATGTGATTTCATTGTTTCCATCTTGTTTCATCGTTTCTAATTTTTATCCGTAATTTCTCATCGTTTCGTAATTTTTCCATTTTTAATTTCTATTTTCCAATACTCTACATTAACCACTATCATTCCTACCATTATCGTTGCTATAATATTTACTACTGCTACTGCTACTACCTCTACTGCTACTACTGCTACTGCTACTACTGCTACTGCTACTACTGCTACTACTACTACTGCTGCTACAACAACAACAACAACTACTACTACTACTACTACTACTATTAGTGTTGTTATTACGTAGACTTCAAGGAAATAGAGTTTGTTTTTTTGATTCTTGCCTTTTTGTCCTTGCATACTAAATTTAATGCAACCTGTTTGATGCTTAGATTTTTTTTGTGCTGGGCGCATTTTAGTTTTGGATTCTTATAAAGTTTTTTGATCCCTCACCCCTTCAGGTCAAGGTCAAACACATTCCTGTGTGCTGTCATCTATCAAAGTGCCAAGCCCCGGATTCCTGATACGATTTATCGGGTGCACCTGACCATGCAGCATGCCACATGCTCAAGGCTCTTCGCACATGATAGTCAGAAGCCCATGCATCATTTTGAAATTTGTTACAGCGACTGCCATTTTGTGGTTTCGCAGAAAAGAAACGTTGCCTTATCAATTTTGATGGTCATCGTGCTTGACCACTCGCAGAACAGCGATAATCAGCACGAACAGCAACGGTAGCAAGGACAGTCAACCGACCATGGGCTTCGAAACGTCGGCTGGCATGGAAAGCTCGCCGGTGCCTGCAGAACCTGCAGCCTCAGATGTGCCGAAGATGACCACCCTGAAACATATCAAGCTGGATGCCCGACATAGGCGGGTCGTCGAAGTAGTACTAGTGGCCAAATGCATCTGTTGTGATTGAGTGGGCTTTCCTAGATTGCTTTGCGCTGGATTCGTGACTATTTCCTGAGAAGTTTTGCACTTCAGGGAGGCCTGATCCCAAAGCCTGCACCCTGAAGCCGCTTGGATGCAAACACTTAAGCAGGTGCCTGCGCTGGAAGAACACGATCGCATCAGTTTGCAGCCTGGTACTGCAATGGGAAATCAAATGAAACATGATATTCAAACAAGGGTTGTATACAAAAAAAATACGTGGACATATAGAGGATAATGGAAGGTGGAAGATACTATTTCATCACAGGGATCATCTAGTAGATAATGGACGCATCAATTTGCAGCTTGGTAATTGTCGGCCAGTCCGCTTATACTCTAAACCCTAAACACCGCGGAAATCACATATCAGTGTAAATCGCTCCCTTATGCCACGACTATGTAGGAACTACAGTGCGCCTTCCTTTCCAAATCTGTTACCCACCAACCAAGCCTCCGTGGAGCCGACATATTCTCAAGGCCACGTCTTACTTGTAGCTTGCCTCGTTGAGCCCAAAGCACTCGATTTCAAACTCTACACTATGACCTTAGCCCTGGATGAGGAGAGCCTACACATAAGAAATCTCACACTTTGACTTCCTGAGCCCCAGGCTCACGTGGGCTTCTGCTTTGAATGTGTATACATTGTTAGCCGCAATTTTCAGTTTGTTTCCGGGCTTAAGGCATGTTTGGGGCGGTCAGCGGCATCTTCGGAATGTCTCCACTGTCGGACCTGATGAACAACCAGGTGCCCGAGGGCTGGGAATGGCTGGCACCGGGAGCCTCGGTGGCTTTGGGTCAGATGGGTTTCACAGACTTCCTGCATTGTGAACAGTGTGTGGATCACAAAAAAAATCACATCTTTGTATAGCTCGAAGGCAGGCGCATGTTTGGAAGTGTTGGCACCCCTCTTGCATCATGTCCTACCAAGTCTGGGTAGACAGCTTCAACTTCTTCACTCAGGGATCTGGGGGCAGTCATCCAAGGAGTCACTGTACCGGCGGTGACGCACTTGCTGGCACAGGCAGTTGTGCTGCCGGCGACGGGCGGTAGCTGGTTTTTCATGATTCAACCATTTGTTCATTCCCATGAGCGTTAGTCACTTTAGAGTTTTATTTTATTTTACTATTTTTTACGACCCTTGTAGAAACATCCCATCACCCCCAAGACAATATCTAATTATCCTGATAGTCGTCCAGTTGTGTTGGCAGACACGTTTAACGTTAGGGTGTGTGTGGGGGTGGGGGGGGACCATTCCGCGGAGGCATGTTCTTTTCCTGCTCAACAAAGGTATGGCCAAGAGACTTGAACCGTGGCAAACATGGTTGGTGGTGACGCTGGGATCCTAGACTTTTTTTGGAATTAAGCTCCCCCAAAACCAACATGGACCCCCAAAAAGTGCCCTCGACAACCACTGTGCGTTTAAAGGCGGGCTGCTCGAGGGAATGCAGGTGTCCTACCTTTTTAGACAAGTACTTGGAGATCTTGGGCTCGCCAGCATAAATTCCTTGCATAATACTGCGTCCGCTCAGAAATTGAGATATGGACCCTTACAGGGGAAGCCTAGAATCGGTTTCTATTCCTGACCCGAGGAATGGTGAGCCCACTGTCGATTGCCCTCAGCTCCCTGCAGGGTTTGTTCTGGTTGCTTGTATGAAGCATTATTAGGAGAGTTCTTGCTAGATATGTCTGCTTTTTTGCATCTGCTCAGATTATTGCTGCAGATAGAACATTGAGCTCTAGGACTGGAGACGCTTTAGCTGGAGACCTAGCCGAGGCATTTCACGCTTTGTACGCCCTAAATTCAAATCAGAACCCACACCTTTCTTGCAAAGCCGCCCACTGGCAGCCTAGTACCTGTCCCAGTCCTCAGAATCCTGATTGAGGTGGCGGTGCGAACATCGTATTATTTTCACGTTGATGATTTGGATATTGCACTGCAATTTCACCCATGCTCATTCTCAAAAAGCGAATGTCCTTTGTCAGCATCGTGCATGTGTAGAGCATATCAGACCATTTGACGGTTGAAGTTTGTATTTTCTATCAGTGTCCATTCAAGTAGAAGATCCTCTGGGGTATCCTTCATAACTACAGCACGGCATTGTTCAAAGGTCGCAGATACCAAAAGGCTTGTCAGTGCAGGCTTGGTTTTTGCAGGCTTCAATACGCTGGTGCAGCCGTGGCTTCCATTGGTGTGGCTATGTCTTTGGAGTACACGCAGGCGCATGTGGGATGTGGGAAAGCACACAGATGCGTGAGGGTCTGCCTGGTAGTCTGCATTCGAACTGCATGGTGTCTCTCTAGACATGCATCCTCAGTTTTCGTGCAGCGTTCAGATAAGGATCCTTTACAAAGAAGTGCCTGGCCTAACAGAAGCGGTTAATTCGCAGGATGGCCTGTGTGACCCTGAATTGCCTGCAGGTCGTGGTGTTGCAGTGGTGGGCCCTTGATGGCAGACAGAACGTAGGTGAGGGGCTGTCAAAATTCTAGTTTCCACTACTGCGGGGTATAATATGCCCCCCCCCAAAATGGAAATCTATTCCTTTTTGTGGATCCCAATTAAAATGCGACCTCAACGTAAAGGGCTCCTGAAAAGGGGCGCAAGTTTTGACAGTTCTTAATGCAACGCTTAATCTCTATGAGCCATTGTGGAACCTTAGTTAGCTAAACTCCAAACCATAAACCCTGAGCCATGACATAGCAATTTCCATTTTCTTTTCCATTCCCTCACACACCCCCTCCTTTATAACCCAAAACTCTAGACCCTCTACACCCCAAACCCTAAATCCTCTAAACCCTAAATCCTAGCCCCTCTAAACCCTATGAACTCAAGCCCCAAACCCAAAGCCTCAAACCCTGAACCCCAAACCCTAAACCCCGAACCACCACCCCAAAAAAACCCAAACCGTAAACCCCAAACCCCAAGCCTTCAATCCCAAACCCTAAACCCCAAAGCCCTAAACCTTGAACCACAGCCCAGCAGTTTTCATTTTCCTCTCCCCCACGTACCCCTGCCTAGTCCCTATAAGATCCTAAACCCCAAACCGCAAACCCTAAACCCCAAATCCCAAACCCCAACCCCTAAACCCCAAAGCCCTAAACCCCAAAGCCCTAAGCCCTGAACCATAAAATAGCCTTCCATTCCCACACATGCCCCTGTGTAGTCCCTATATAACCCCAAACACAAAACCCCAAACCCTCTAAACCCTAGACCCCAAACCCCAAACCCTGCCGCTGCGGCAGACATCAAAAGTCCGAGGGGTTGTAAAAAAACCCTAAACCCCAAATACTAGACCCTAAAGCCCTAAACCCTCAACCATAACGCAGCAGTTTCTGTATTCTTTTCCATTCCCATACATTCCCCGATATCGTCACCTAAACCAAAGGCTCCATAACCTCCTAAGCCCCAACCCCCAAACCCAAAACCCTAAACCCTATAAACCATAAACTCCAAACCCAAAAGCCCCCACCCCACACCCTTTGAAACCCCAAACCCTAACGCCCAAAACCCTAAACCATAATGCAGCAGTTTCCATTGTCTTTCCATTCCCCCACACCCACATGCCCCTATATCGTCCCTATACAACCCTAAACCCCAAGACCCAAACCCTCAACCCCACACCCTGGACCCTAAAACCTTTAACCTTGAATCATAGTATAGAACTTTGCATTTTCTTCTCCATTCCCCCACATACCCTTATCTAAACCGCAAGCCCTCTAAACCCTAAACTCCAAACCCCACACCCTAGACTCTAAACCCTAAAGCCCTAAACCCTCAACCATAACACAGCAGTTTCAATTTCTTTTCCCTTCTCCCACATACCCCTTCGTAGTCCCGATATACCACCTAAACCCCAAACCCCTTAAACCCTCTAAGCCCTCTAGACCCAAACCAAAAACCCTCTTGACCCTCCACACCCAAGACGCTTAGCCCCCCAAACCCTCTAAACCTTAAGCCCTGGACCCTGTAAACCACGAACCCAAAATCCCCAACGGACCCCAATGTAACCCCTATATTGCCCCTAGATAACCCTACATAACATAGTGGTTTCCATTTTCTTTGCCATTATCCCTATACAACCCCAATATAACCCCAGTAAGTCATACAACCCCTCCAGGTGTGGCCTTCCAGGGCATGATGATGGCCAGCTCGCTCCTTGGTCCAAGCACAGGTTAGGGTTTGAAGGGTTTTAGGATTTAGAGTTTGAATGGTTCAGGGTTTAGGGTTTGAAGGGTTTAGGGTTTGAAGGGTTTTAGGCTTCATAGGGTTTTGTGATTGAGGTTTTGGGTTTCAGGGCTTGCAAGGTTTTATGAGTGAGGACTTTGGATTTTTTTGGTCTACAAGGTATTTTGAATGAGCTTTTTGGGGTTGAGGGTTTTTAGGATTTTCGGGTCTATGAGGTGTTATGAAGGCATGTTTTTTTTTTTGGTTTCAAGGTTGTAGGGATGAGGGCCTGTGGTTCATAAGGTTTCATGGTGGACTTGGGTTCAGAGGTTTAGGGTTTAGGGTTTATGAGGTTTGATGAGTGAGGGTTTTGGGGGTCAGGTTTTTAGGGTTGAGGGTTTCAAGGTTTAGGGTTTTAGGGTGATTGAGGTTTTTTTGTGGGCAAGGAGATTTGAGTTGAAGGCTTTCGGGCTTACAAGTTTTTGCGATTGAGGGTTCTATGTTTAGAGGTTTAAGGGTTTAGGATTTTCTTTTTTATGGTTGTTTGATGAAATATTTTTGGGTTCAGGGCGTTGAGGGATTAGTGTTTTCGGGTTTATGAGGTTTTATGATTGAGGGTTTCTTGGTCCAGAGTTTGGGTTTATGATGTTCTATACTGACTGCTGGTGGGATTCAGGGTTTGTACGGTTGTAGAGTGTAAGGCCTAGGAGCTATAAGGTTTCACAGTTCAGGGTTTAGAGTCTTCACATTTTGTTTTTAGGGTTTGTAAGGTTTTGTGATTGAGTGGGGTTTAGGGTTTCGGGCTTTAGGGTGTAGGGTTAAGGCTTTACTAGGTTTTTATGATTGAGGATTTGGGTATTTTGGGGCTGATGGTTTGGGTTTGGGGTCCTAGTTGGTTGTATGACATTGTATGAGTGTGGGTTTCGGGGTTTGGGGTTCTAGGCTTGTAGGGTTTACGGGTTTATGTGGCTTTATGAGTGAAGGTTTTCGGGTTTGGGGGCTTAGGGTGTCAGGGTTGAGGGTTGAGGGTGTTGCAGAAGTTTCGGGTTTAGGATTTTAAGGTGTATACTGTCTAAGATTTTATGACCGACGGCTGTGCGGTTTTCAGGGTTTGGGGTTTAGGGTTCCTCCGCTGCGTAAAAGTTGTGGTTTGGCGTTTTTTCTTATTAATGGCAAAGCGACACAAACCCTAAGCCCTAAACCCTCAAACCCGAAATCCTGGAGGCCCTTAACCCAAAACGCGTGAGCTAAACCTTGCAAAAAGCCTTGACCTTGGAAAAAGCCTCCGCTGCGTGCAGGTTTGAGCATCAGGTTTTATGAGTGAGGGTTTTGGGGTTTAGGGTTGTCGGCTTTGAGGGTTGAAGGGCTTTGTAATTTTGAGTTTTTGGGTCTTGGGGTTCAGAGTTTTAGGGGTTTTTCAAACGTTTGTTTGACTGGGGTTTGGGGGTTGATGATGTAGGGTTCAGGTTTAAGGATTTGTATTATGATTGAGGGATTTTCGGTTTGGGGTTTTAGGTGTTTTAGGGTTAGGGGCTTACAAGGTTTTGTGATTGAGGTTTTGTTTCTTAAACGCTAATCTTTAAACCCTAAACTCGTATAAGGTTTGATGATGGAGGTTTTGGGGTTGGGCAGGGTTTGGGGTTTTAGGGCCCAGAGATTCGGGGCTGAAAAGGTGTTACGAAGGATGGTTTTGGGATTTATGGCTTGAGGCAATAGGGCTGTAGGGTTGAAAAGAGGTACTAGGATCAAGGGTTTTGGGGTTTGGGGCTTATGGTTATACGATTTTGGCTTTTTGGGTTGTTAAGGTTTTGTGATAAAGGGTTTTGGGGTTACGGTTTTAACGCAGAAAGATGTTTTGACTGAAGGTTTTCCTGTTCAGGATTTTCGGGTTCAGGGCTCAGTGCATTATTGTAGATTTCTTCATTTTTTTATGGTTGAGGGTTTTAGGGTTCAGGATTTTTCGGTGAACAAGGTGTTTTGACTGTTGGTTTGGGGGTTGAGGGTTTAACTAATTCGGGCTTTAAGGTTGAGCATGTCTTTTGACTGAGGGTGTTGCGATCTTGGGTTTTAAGGTGTTGGGGTTTATGAGGCTGTGTGATTGAGGAACTTAGCGGTTTTGTGTTTTGAGGGTGTACAAGGCTTTATGAGTGAGAGTTTCGGGGGTTTGGGTTTTTGGGCGTGGGGCTTTAGGGCTTATATGGTTTCTGATTGAGTTTTGTCTTGTTTTTGTTTTGTTGGGTGTATGGTTTAGGGTTTTATGAGGTATTGCAATTGGCGGTTTCAGGGTTTCGGGTTTTATGAGATGTTATGACTGATGCTTTTGGGTTTTGGATTTTAGGGTTCATATTGCGGGTGTTGGGGTTTAGTGTGTTAGGGTTGAGGGTTTGCCAGGTTCTATGGTTCAGGGTTTCGGGTTTTCAGGCTTCAGTCCTTAGGGTTCTGCTTGAGAAAGTTGTATGATTGAGTTTTTTTATTTCTTTCGGGCTGTGGCCTCTGTCTGTTTGTTCCTCACGTTTTTGGCTTTCATGATTATGTTTTTAACTTTTCTTTTTTTCTGGATTTTGGGGTTTGTGCGTTTTTTCATGGAGGGTTTGTGGGGTTTAGGATTCTGGGTTTGAGGTGGTTTCGGGGTTTCATGATTGAGGGTTTGAGTGTTTGTCAGTGCTTATATGAGCGACAGTCAAAATTTCCAGACAGTAGGCCATGTCTTCGGTGGACATGACTTTTGCGCTGATCTTGGAAACGCTGTAAAACGATAGGGGAGACAATAACAAACGATAACAATGAAGAGGCAAATCCTTGTGACCTTCATCTGCAGCGCAGCAGTGTGTGCCAAGCAATAGCTCCTGTGGCCCATCCCCCAGTCTCTCAGAAGCCATGGCTCAGAATCCCATGGGTATGGTTTGGGAAGAGTTTCGATTCACCTCTGCAACCTCCACCTGGGTTGTGTCATATCCTAAGAGAAGCGACCGGGTCTGCAGCCGCAAGAACAAGCTTCAAGCAGAGGCTTTGTTAGCACCAAGGCCGCAACAAGAATACATTATTAGGAGCTTTTGGAGGTTAGGGTTTTGGGTTTAGGGTTTAGGGTTTAGGGATACTACACCCCAAAACCTTCTACTCTAGGAGGTTATCATGAAGCTGTCTGGGGCCTCCTATGTAAGCCCCTAAGCCCTTACCCCTAAGCCTTCAATCCTAAACCCCTAAGCCGCTAAACCCCAAAGCGCTTCGCCCCTCGGCATCCTTCACCTTGTATACACACGCCCTAAATTAGGGGTCTGACCCTCAACCCTAATCCACCCCTCACCCCCTAACCTCAACAAGCCTAAACCATGTAGGCCCTCAAGCGTCAACCACCCTAACCATAACCATAGGAGCCCTGATGCCCAAGCTCTGAAGCGCATAAGCCCTCAAGCATAAAGCCTAACCCCAAACCCAAAACCCTCAAGCGCATATCAACTTACCATTACTTCGCGTTCCCAAATTTCCTGAAGTCTTAAATTTCAAAAGTTCAAAATTTCAAAATGTCTAAACCCAAGATCCGCCCCCAAACACTAAGTAATGGTAACAAAAAAACCCTCAACCCTAAACCCTCAACCGTAAACCCCAAACCCCATAACCTTCAACCCTGAACCCCAAACAACCGTGTCCGCCCGGGTGAAGAGCTTTAGGATGCCAAGGCTCCAGATGAGCTATACCCTAAACCCTAAACCCTAAGCCCTAAACACCAAACCTTAAAGCCTAAACTCCTTAAGGGGGGCTATATAGGCGGTTTTATAGGGTTCCTAGTATAGGCTTGATTAAGGGGGGACCACCTAATAACCCTATATAAAACTAACCCAAGGGAGAAAAGGCAATGGCTAGTTGGCTCCTACTTGGAGGGTCAAGGGGACTTAGTAAGTAGGTTAATAACTCCTATAACCCATATAGTGACCCTAATTATCCCCACTATTAACCAAACCCTAAACCCTAAACGCTGCTTTTGCAGTGTCGTCCCAATCTCGAGGCAATATGCCGCCAGAACAGTGACAAGACATTGCAGGAGCTCAAGGAGTTGTGCCGAAGCCAGGACCATATTTGCGATCCTGCAATACAGTTTCACCAGCCCGCTCAAGCCCTTCTGGCCGTAGCAGGTAGAAGTTCTTGCAGCACTGAAGGGTTGGTGTAACATTCCCGTAACATTAGGAAAGCGCACTGTATGCCACCTGGTGTTTGTATGGGTTTTTTCCTAGGGTGTCCCACTCAACACCCAAGCTCCCACCTGGTGCTTGTATGGGTTTACCTAGGGTGTCCCACTCAAAGCCCATGCTCCCACCTGGTGTTTGTATGGGTTTTTCCTAGGGTGTCCCACTCAAAGCCCATGCTCCCACCTGGTGCTTGTATGGGGCTTTCCTAGGGTGTCCCACTCAAAACCCAAGCTCCCACCTGGTGTTTGCATGGGTTTTCCTAGGGTGTCCCACTCAAAGCCCATGCTCCCACCTGTTGTTTGTATGGGGTTTTCCTAGGGTGTCCCACTCAAAACCCAAGCTCCCACCTGTTGCTTGTATGGGTTTTCCTAGGGTGTCCCACTCAAAGCCCATGCTCCCACCTAGTATTTGTATGGTTTTTCCTTGGGTAGCCCACTCAACACCCAAGCTCCCACCTGGTGTTTGCATGGGTTTTCCTAGGGTGTCCCACTCAAAACCCACTCCCACCTGGTGCTTGTATGGGTTTTCCTAGGGTGTCCCACTCAACACCCAAGCTTTCACCTGGTGTTTGCATGGGTTTTCCTAGGGTGTCCCACTCAAAGCCCATGCTCCCACCTGTTGTTTGTATGGGTTTTTCCTAAGGTGTCCCACTCAAAACCCAAGCTCCCACCTGGTGTTTGCATGGATTTTCCTAGGGTGTCCCACTCAAAACCCAAGTTCCCACCTGTTGTTTGTATGGTTTTTTCCTAGGGTGTCCCACTCAACACCCAAGCTCCCACCTGGTGTTTGCATGGGTTTTATTA